CCGTGATGCCCAGATCCGTAAGATGCGAGAAGAATGCCAAGCTCTTATGGTCGAATTGCAAATGTTACTCGATACCAAACAGGTAAATATCTTTTTTAATGCCAACTACAGTGCAGTATGATGAATTTAATCTGTTCCAGACCTTGGATGCCGAAATCGCCATCTACCGCAAGATGCTCGAAGGAGAAGGAGATGGTCCCGGCCTCCGCCAACTCGTCGAACAGGTTGTTCGTACAACGGGAATTAATGAAGTTGCTGACACAGGTAGGTGGAGTTGTGTTAAGGGTGTGGTTCTGGTTTTGACTTGGCCAATTCTTTTCAGAAACGATGCGCGTTGTCAAAGGTGAAATGTCCAGTAGAACTTCCTACACTCGTTCGGCTAAAGGAAACGTTTCCATCCAGGTAGGTCCTTGCTTTATGTGTTCTATTACAATACCTAACTGAAGAAACGAAGCTCCATTGCAGGATCCTTCACCCGAAGGGAAGTACGTTGTGCTGGAAAATACCCATCGTTCCAAGGAGGAGCCCATTGGAGATTGGAAACTTAAGAGGAAAATCGATGGAAAACGTGAGATTGTCTACACCTTCCCTCATGACTTCATCCTTCGCGCAGGAAAGAGCGTTAAGGTAGAGTTTTTCTATACTGTGCCTTTTTAGCAATGGTAAGTAAAATCTGATAACCTTTGTAGATATGGGCTCGTGGCCAAGGCGGCACCCATAATCCTCCGGAGTCGCTAGTTTACGACGGCGAAGACTCCTTCGGTGTTGGCTCGAATGTGCAAACTATCCTCTACAACAAGGAGGGCGAGGTTTGTGGAATGTTAGAAAAAATTAGGCATTTGAGGCTAAATAAATTTTTTGTGAAGGTTTGAAGGGATTCGAGGGTGAAAAGGTTAAAAATATCTTTAAATCTCCTAATTAATGGTGTAAATTTGTACAGGTGGGAGCGGAAATAGTGCAAAAACTTTTCAATTCTAGGAACGTGCCACCCACATTCAACGCCAGAGCCAAAGCGCTACATAAAACGACACAACGATAGAAGACGCGATTACTTCACTACGCTTGATCATATCCATAATAACCCTATGTGCCTATATTTGCCCACTTTCTATTACACCCAAATAGCAATACAAATATTATGCATTTTACTTCTTGCATAAGATTTTCTTATTCAGCGTTATCTTCATGCCATCATCATGTTTCAAGTGCATTTCTGCTTGAAGCGGGGACAAGACATAACGCATTCAGTTCTACAAAATTGTGCTTGGTTTTATGTGAAGTAAAGAGTTACGCTTAATATGTGCTCGCAAAACTTTGTCCACTGAAAATTTTTAAAACATCCTCTAACAGCACAGAGTGTTCTGAATTTGAATTACTTTCGCTTTTTTCTATAGTCAGAACTAAAGCAACATGAACTATTGTTTGACCGTTATATCCGAACTATTC